CTGTGCCACAACCTGAAGCCAGTGAAGGGATCTCTGCAAACACCCCCCCGATGCTCCCCCAGCACCATCCCCAAGAAAGCAAGCCTTCACTTGAGCTAGCTCTTGCATCTGCCCTGCTCATTCTTTCCCTCGGTCTCCTTGCTCTGTATGTGCTCTTCAAAGACACCTTCTGGGGATGGAGCGATAGCACAGCGGGTAGGGCATTTGCCTTGCACTTGGCCAACCCGGGTTTGGTTCCCAGGATCCCATATGGTCCCCTGAGCACCGTCAGGAGTGATTCCTGAGTGCAGAGCCAGGAGGAACCCCTGAGCACCAAAAAAAAAAGACACCTTCTAGGGCCAGAGTGATAGTACAGTATTTGCCTGCCTATGGGCAACCCAGGTTTGATTCCCGCTACCCCACATGATGCCCTGAGCCCTGCCAGGAGTGATCCCTGAGTGCAGAGCTTGAGCACTGCCTGGCCTGGACCCTAAACAAACAAACAAACAAACAAACAAACAAAAGTCATCTTCTAAGCCCAACATTTGCCCAATGTCCCGCTAGCATTGAGTTGAGGACGACACGCTTGCTGCCCAGCTCCGAGCCACCTCCTGCCATTTCCTCGCTGTTGCTGGTACCCTCAGGCTCCCATGAGCTACAGCCCTGGGTCAGCTTTGGTTTCCCCCTTTGCTCCACACGGGGTGGGTGGGGGGTGGGGAACCAAAGGACTGTAAGTGGGACCAGCAGGAAGTGTTGAGAGCGGCAAGGTGCAGGGGGCCGGGAGAGCTGGGGCTCTCAGACGGGCTGCTTGAAGGGCGCTGCAAGGGAGCCCACATCCCCCAGGACTCCATGCCTGCGTGGCAGCCTTGGCCACAGTGAGAACCTGCAATATTTCTTTCTTTTTTGGGGGGGGCACACCTGGCAATGCACAGGGGTTACTCCTGGCTCTGCACTCAGAAATTACTCCTGGCGGTGCTTGGGGGACCATATGGGATGCTGGGAATCGAACCCAGGTCGTCCGCGTGCAAGGAAAACACCCTCCCTGCTATGCTATCGCTCCAGTCCCCTTATCTGCAATATTTCTCCCCGCCCCCCATGCTCATCAACTCCCACTGGTGAGAACTTCCTTCCCAGGTAGCTCGATGCAGGCACACAGACCTACCGTTCCCGGGCCCTCGGCTCAGCCTGCTGGGATCTGACTCAACGTCAGCCCCCAGCCAAGCATGGATGGTGCAGTGTCCCTCGTTCCCGGCACAGCAGGCTGGCGTGCCTTGGCACGAGAGCCAAAACGGACCAGAATGCCAGTCAGCAGGCCGTGAGGGACGAGAGGGGCCGTGCTCCCCACCTGTCCCCGTGACAGGGAGATACGGTGATGGGCCGGATACGCAGACTCCGCAAGCTCCTGCGCACAGACACAGACACCGCCCTCCGTGCCTTTCCCGCCTCCTGGAGGCATGTGCGAGGTGGCCACCGGGAATATTCCGGGACCATTTCGTCCGCGCAGCCTTGGCCTCCCATTCCCACTCCGGTCTCAGGTCCCAGCCCTGCAGGGCATGGGGGTCCCCCGCTTCCTTCCCAGCCAGTAGCTGGAGGCTCGGCCTGCCTCGTAGTCGAGCTCCTGGGCTCTCACGCCAGGCAGTGACTCTGGACTTGTAAGGCCGGGGATAGAAATGTAAGGGCCACCTGGGCTAATAGTCATTAAGTGGTAGGAAAGAGTTAACCAGAAAACTGTAAAAGCCGTGAAAGCTACAGTTGCAAAATCTGGCTCGAAAGAGTTATAATGTAGCTCCCACCTACACCCTGCTATGACCTTGTGGTTGGGCCAGATTTGGGGACATGTGCTCAGATGTTCAGAAGTTACTCTTGTGCAAGTGTCGTGCTGCTCTTGGTAAAGCTGCAGATTGCTGTACTGTAAGACTCCTTTGTTTATTCTTGGTTATAAAAACCCACTGTACTTTGGTTCGGGGCTCTCTGCCTCTGTCCTGTTTTCCGGACATGTAGTGAGCCCCAGCATGCTTGGGCAATAAACCCTGTGCGTGTTGCATGAGAAAGTCTCTTGGAGTCTTCCTTCACGGGCGGTGAGCGTCTCGACCCTAACAGACTGACCTCCCTGGTATAGCCGGCACCCCACAGACACCCCTTTTCCACTCCCTGCCACAGGGTGCAATGGGACCACGGTGCTGGCACATCTGGAGAGGAAACTGTGCAAGTCAAGAGAGCGTGCAGCGGGCTCGGTCCTCAGTTGCAGCACACAGACAAGCCCTGGGCCCCCCAACCTTGGGGTTTTGCCCCGGTTCCCATTTTCATGACAGTGACACTGGCTTAAACACTGCGGGGTTCCCGCGCACTGGCCTTCCTCATGCTCTGCTCGGCTCAAAGCCCCGTGCCGCCCTCGCCAGTAGTAGCCCCGGTCACCCCGATTCACCCCCTCTCTGCTGTCCTCCCCTTTGGGACTCTGCCCCAGTATGTTCCTTCCTCTGTCTCCAAGGTAGGAGAGAGACCACTGCACTGCCCTACCTCTGACTTCTTCCACACAATGTAACCACCCGACCAGGATACAGTTTTCCATCTCTCAGTCCTTGGACCTGCTGCTGCCCTGGACCCCTCCTGCGCCTCCCCCACACACAGGGTTAGCAAGGCGGAAATCCACAGGGCCACATTGTTGCAAACCCAGGGTTTCTCTGTTTTAATCAGCCACCAGCTGCCATCCTTGCCACCTGGTTGAATTCTGGCCCCCTCCTGTCCCATCCATCATGTATATCCTGCCCCCCTGCCCCCCAGCCTGATGGACAGTGGACCAAGACCTCCAAGTCCCCCGAATCAAGGGTGTTTGGAATCAGCATGTCACGGAATAGAGAAGGGACCCCCCCTTAGTCCCTCCCTCCTTTCTCGGCTGTGGCATGACCTCTGGGGTCACAGGGCGAGAGAGGGATTTTCTCAACGCAGAGGTGATGTTTTCTGGGGCTGAGCCTACTTGGTGCCAGGGAGCTCAAACAGCTAAGCTTGAAACTCTCCTGAGTGTCCCCAGGCCCAGAGCTAAGGACAGAGGAACCTGTTTTCTTCTTCTTCATATGTGTGTGTGTGTGTGTGTGTGTGTGTGTGTGTGTATATATATATATATATATATATATATATATATATATAATTTTTATTAGTAAACACCATGAGGTAAAGTTGTAGACTTGCACATTTTTGTGCTTGGGTTTCAATTATACAATGATCAAATACCCATCCCTCCACCAGTGCCCATTTCCCGCCACCACGGATCCCAGTATCCCTCCACCCCCCATCCCCCCATCCCACCCTGCCTCTGTGTCAGGGCACTCCCTTTTGTTCTCTCTCTCCTTTTGGGTGTTGTGGTTTGCAAAAGAGGCATTGAGTGGCAATCATGTTTGGTCTAGAGTCTACTTTCAGCATGCTTCTCCCATCCTGGGAGGATCCTCCCAACACCCTTTATTTGGTGCTCCCTTCTCTATCTGAGCTGCCTTCGAGGAACCTGTTTTTGAGGAACCTGTTTTCGCCTTTCATGGTCTCTCACCTAGCAGCCCCAGGCAAGTAACAGATGTTGGAAAATTTTCATGGGGATCTTCGCTGCTACAGACATGACCCTTGGCCCTCTGACTCTTACCGTCCCCTAACTCAGAGCTTCCCACTTGAACGACCTGGCACCACCCCCTTTACAGAAAGAAAGTACCACTCAGCAGCCCTCGGGAAACCCACCGTCGAGAGCGAAAAATAGGAAGGGAGCCCCAACTGCACCAGAGGCTACTACGGGCTGTTCCAGTGTCCCACGGCAGGTGGTATCGCCCGCTTGGGAAATGCTGCCTTAAACACAAGTGACCACTGTCCTTTGATGATTCCCCCCACCTCGAAAATCCCTGGGCATGTCCCTTAAGTGTCATGGGTCCAGGAGCTGTGGCGGTGGGTCTGGGTGGGCGTGGCCATGGGTGGAGTGGGCGTGACCATGGGCGGAGTGGGTGTGGCCCTGGAGAGTGTGGGCGTGGCCTTAGGACCCACCCATACCCAGGAGCCTAAGAGGGGAGAGCGAGGGGTGTCCCCGGCTGGAAGTGAACCCAGCGCTCCCTCTCACTGGAAAGGAAGCTGTGAGTCATCAGCCACCACCAACACACTAATTCACAACCTCTGGTCTCAGAGGAGATCATTACCCCTAATTATTATTATTAAGCATAATGACTAATTAGCAAAAATAGCTATCATTACTGAGTGCCAACTTATGCCTGGTACTTAATACATATTATTTCTCTTTTTCCATTTTATGCTTCTGGGCTTCAATTTTTTTTCTAATTATAAAGTCAATATATGTTTATAGAAAAAAAAATTCAGATACCAGAAAAATAAAAAGGAACAAATCTTGCCCCTTCGTTTCATTACCCATAAGGAGCTACTGCTGGCACACTGGGGTTTCCTTTCCCGGATTTTCTCTCTGTCCGGCTGCTTCTATGTTCCTCGTATGTGTATGTGTGTGTGAGGTACGGCTGTCATATATGAAATGGAACACAGGCGTAATCACTTCTTACAGAAAATCACTTTTCTTAGAGTAATCTTCTGAGTTGTGTCCTACAGTCATCACCTTTTAGATGAAGACACAGAGAGGGCAAGCAGTTTGTCCAAAGACACAACCAATAATTGCGGCACAGGGATTTATGGGGTCTTTTTGTGTCAACTTCTGTCTTGGGGCCTTGGGAGATGGCTCTGAGGACCGAAGCTCAGGTAGTGCCTGTGGCAGCCTGGCAGGCACCACGTGGCCCCCAACACAGCCAGGTGTGTCCCCAAACAAAATAAAACCACACAAAAGCAAACTCAGTCTTTCCCCCCACTTTGGCTAGGCTGAGCTCCACCCATTACGGGGGCATTGGAGACAACCACACCAACTTGTCTAGTTCCTGCTACCCCATCCCCCACACTGGCTGGCTGGCGTCTAAGAGTGACTACAGGTATAGAGGAGATGCAGGTTACTCCGACGATGTCCAGAGTAACTCAACTACTCAACTGACCAGTACCTGACTATGGGAAACTTTGAAAACTGGATCTTCGATGAAGGCATTCTGTCAGAAACTGGAGGGAATCTGAGGGTGCTGTCCATATAGATATCCGGAAGGCTGAAATCAGAAAGCATAATGAACCGTTTTCTCATCTTGCCATTTTGCATGCGTCAGATATAAAGTTAAATGTCTACAGGATAATGCGAGTCTGCCATCAAAACCCCAGGTAGGGGCACCACTGACACAAGGAGGGAGAAACACTGAGGACCCGGTGCCATGCACCTGTCCTTGGCTGGTTTCCTTAACAGTCATATGGATGAAGCATCTTTAACTGGCACCAAGCTGATTAAACATGTGACACCTCCAAAGTGCTGAACACTGGACACAGAAGACAAAGACAACCTTTTAGGGTGTCCTGCCTGCAAGGCGCTTCTACCCTGAGCTGGGAGACAGCTCAATGCACACATCTGCGGGCTGGAGGAGGTGCTCACACACAGCTACAGAAACTTGTTTTGTTCTAGACATTCCAAGGTCAGACTCTTTAAATCCGATGGGAGAATGCGAGGTGAAAGAGAAAGCTGGGGATGGGGAGGAGGGGGGCGCCCAGGGCAGGCGCCAACTGATATAAGCTCTTACAAATGTCCCGTGCTCATTGAAATAAAAAAGACCAGAGCTAGCTAAAAATATATCTGATGTATCTCCCACATAAGCACAACTGGCTGCTGCGTGAGCCTCCTCATACATTTTTCATGCTCTTCTTCCCATGCAGTGCGCACCGCCACGTCCGGACGGTGTTTGCTTTGCCGCGGCTGGTTCCCCGGGAACCTTGTCCTGTGTGGATGTGTGCGGATATGAGCCTGGCCTCCGTCTAAAGGCGCTGCTGGCTCTTGGTGAATAAGTCGGAGCTGAACCCTGCCAAGACCACAGGATGCTCTCAGGGGGATCCGGGCTAGCTCACGTGGGTTTCGGTTCCGTGCTTCCAACCCCAGGCCACAAACCCCAGCCCATCTCCTGCACCCAGATAACGCGACTCCTCTTGACAGAACTGGGAGCCCGGTTCCAAAGCCTGGACTGCCCCTTCTAGTCCTGCCACCTCCACGGTTTCGTAGCCCACCTGTTGGGGGCTAACACTCTCCCCTCCCTGTCCCCCTTCTCTTGCTGGGCCTGCTCTGCTGCACACTTCCCCGTGGGGATGCAGGAACAGAAATGGTGGAGACCTGCAGAAGTCAGGGGTGGAGTAACTGCAAGGGTCACTGCAGGGGCCAGGGCTGAGGGAGGGGGAAGCTGTCTCTGGCAGAGACAGCGACGGAGTTAGAGTCAAGTCCAGCTTTGCCTCTTAGGCTCTGTGTGCCTGGATAAGTCACTTCACTTCCCTGATCCTCTCTCTGCTTCCCACTAAAATGAGGATTACCTCCCCCCCCACCTTGCATGAGGGTTGTGAAGATTAAGGGATAGTTTATAAGAGTCTATGTAGAATTTATACAAAATATGATCTTGCAGAAATACATATTCTAATCCACGTTCTTTTTAACAAAATGGTTGAAATCACTCATGTCAGCTGGAGAGATAGTACGGTGCTGAGAGGCTGGCCCTGCATATGGCTGGCCCAGGTTTGATTCCTGGAACCACATAGGGTCCCCTGAGCACTAAGAGCAGTGATCCCTGTGCTGGGGGTGGCTCAAAAATTTTTTAAAAATCAAAAAGAAAACACTCATTTCATAACACAAGCATGTGCATGTGAGACACACACACACGCATGCACATATGAACACACATGCGCACACCACACACATGTGCACACACATGCAGGTGCACACATGCATACACATGCCCACACACACGTGCACACATGAGCACACAGACACACACGTGTGCGCACACACACACATGCCCACACACACGCACACACACGTGCACACATGAGCACACAGACACACACGTGCGCGCACATACACACACACATACACACACCACACACGCACGCACCCTTGGCAATAAAGCGGGGTTGCATTAAGGTGCCAGGAAGCAGACTCTCTGGGCTTGTACACTTCAGCCCAGGTAGGCAGCGTGTGCGTCCACACTCCATAAATCTGTGTGTAGAAAATACCCCAGTGTCATTGACAGGATCAGGTCAAGGCGAAGTATTTAAAGAAAACACGGAGGGCCATTTCCATCCTCAGCTTGGGCAGGGAATGCTGCCTGCGCGGGTCTTGGGCAGCCAAGTGTCTGCAGGGCTTCCTAGCACAGCTCTGCTGGGGGATACCAAATACCGCCATGGGGGTGGGGCTCACATGCTGAGTCTGAAAACGATTTGCAAATTGCTTGAGTTCCCACATCCACAGCCCAAGCGCTCTGGAAAATCGCCTTTTCTCTTTGGAGACTGTTCTAGCCACCAACCCATATTCCCACGTTTAAATAATGCCTAGTGAAGGGCCGCTAGGCCTTTTCACACCACAAATTTAGTATCAGCTCCTCTGGCAGCCCTGCCTGGGTGCAGCCCCCCCCCCCCCCCCCCCCCCAGGACTGGAGGCTCGGCGGGCGCCTTCACGTCCAAGCCTTGAGTCTGGCAGAGTGGCAAGGGGACCCTGGTGGGGCAGGGGGTGGGCTGGGCAAGTTCTGTCTGGAGGGGCTTCCCCAGGCACCTCAGAGTGCAGTGGCTCCCGGAGGGGATGAGATCCCAGCTGCTGGGCCTCTGTCCACTGAGGCAGCTTTGCTCTGGGCCAGCCCTGAGCCCCGCCCTGCACTGCAGTCCGGGTAGGGTCGGGGTGGGGGATCTCCACTCTCCTGGGTGCTCTCTGGGTCCAGTTGTCCTTGCTTTTTTTTTTGGGGGGGGGAGGGTCACACCCGGCAATGCACAGGGGTTACTCCTGGCTCTGCACTCAAGACTTACTCCTGGCGGTGCTCAGGGGACCCTATGGGATGCTGGATATCAAACCCGGGTTGGCCGCATGCAAGGTAAACGCCCTACCCGCTGTGCTATCTCTCCAGCCCCTGGGTCCAGTTGTCCTTGAACGCTTGAGATCAGAGGGTCACTGGGTGCCGGTGTGGACCAGCTCAGGTTCCACCGAGCCCAGTTAGGTGGCTGTGCTCGTTGGCTTCAAAAGCCCAGCTAACTCTATCACTGTTCCTGTAGCGTTGGTTCAGGACCATCAGGCTGATGAGACAGCAACAGAGTCAGAGACCACCATGCCCCCAGCATGCATGGATGACAGGGCTTGGGGCCCACCCGGTGTCAGGAAGCTACCAAGCTGCATTCCACACCTCCCCACATGGACCCCCAACAGATAATGGAAAGCTGCACCCAAAGGCACACGGGTCCGCTGACCTCTGTTCCCTTCCCCCACCCCCCAAGTCAACTTAAAATCCTGCTCAGCTTCCCCAGGGCTCGGCTCTACCCCAGCCACCTCAGAGGTTGCAGGGTCCGCCCGGGAGGGAAATAAACTTCTATTCCTTCACTTTCGCTTTGCCGCCTCTGACCCTCTGTCTGTGCAGGGAAAGGCACTTATGCCACAGAAGGTGCTGGCCTGGGGGATACTTCCGACCTGGCGGTCCACGCTGTGGGTGCTCTTGCTCATATGGCTGCTGTTTTTTTATTTTGCTTTTTTTTGGGGGGGGGGTCATACCCAGCGATGCTCAGGGGTTACTCCTGGCTCTGCACCCAGGAATCACTTCTGCCATTGCTCGTGGGAACATGTGGGATGCTGGGAATCGAACCTGGGTTGGCCGCGTGCAAGGCAAATGCCCTACCTGCTGTTCCATATCACTCCAGCCCCACCTACAGCTGCTTTTAATGCTGCACCGTCACATCTCTTTGGAGAAGATGGACACCCATAGAAATGGGTTATTAGAACAAAACAAAACTCTGGGGCAGGAGAGACAGCCCAGCCAGTAAGGCGCTTGCTTTGCATGCAGCTGGCCCTGCGTTCAATCCCCAGCACCCTCTAGGGCCCCCTGAGCAGGCCAGGAGTGATTCCTGAGTGCAGAGCCAGGCATATGCCCCTCTCCCCTCAAAAAAACAAACAAACACACAAACAAATGAAATAGAGAACAAAACTCTCTGACACAATCTCACTTTTTGGAATTCCCCCCCACCCCACTTTGAGTACATTTTTGTTTGGTTTTGGTGTGGGGGCTGTCTCGGGCCTTACTCCTGGCCCTGTGCTTAGGGATCCCATCTCATGGTGCTTGGGGGACCACATGGGGTACCGGGGATGGAACCAGGGTCAGCCGAGTGCAGGACAAGTGCCTTAACCCCTGTACTATCTCTCGGGCACAAGGAAATTCTCACTTTAACAATATAGTAAATTCCACTCAATTCTCCTATAGAAATACAATCACATGACTGCAATCATACCACACATACAATCCGCGAACTCTTTTTGCGTTTGGCATTTTGTTCTAAGCAATCTGCCACATCACCACAATTCTGAACAGGTCTCTTTAATGACGGCTTTTCAAGCTCAAGGGTCATTAGGTGGCTTCTGGGTTTTCACTACTAGGGTGAAATTACTTGCACACTCCTCCTCCCGACTTGGGACTCACTCTGAAGGCCCTCCAAGTGAGATTCCCGAATCAACAGGTAGTCACACTCCCGAGGTCCTCACTGTAGAGCCTGGCATGCACCCATGACCTCGTACGCTGCGAAGAGACACATCCCTGGTGACGAATCCCAAGCTTTATCAAATCTATCATCTTTTGTTTGCCATGACATTAAGGGCTGAACACTAATAAAATCGGGCGACATGTTTTTCGATGACATTCAACAACAAACACGGGTCTAAAAATATTTCGCCCAGGAGTACGTGAAGCCGAGAGATGAAGCCATATTTTTAAGTGACCCGTAGGCACTTGGCTAAGAATAGACAAACACGCATTGAGATTTGTATCCCTAATTACTTTTTTGACTCTCCCCTGAGCCTCGCATCTGAGTCAGCTCCCCGAGAGGCTGGGAAGTGGCGAGCTCTGGCTCGGAGTTCTGGCGCAGACCGTGAACGTGGGGTGTCAGCGACCCGGAACCCATTTATGTGAGTCATTTAAAAAATAGATCTGTCTCCTCCGCAAACCCTCCTGGGGCTCCTCCGGGCAGCATTCATCTCTCCTGGTCTGCGTCCCCTCGC